ATTTGCATGGAAAATGTAGCAAACTCTGCTTCCTGTCACCGCCACTGTAAAGAAGTCAGAGTCAGTATGTTTTTCTACATTGCACCATTTCACGTTACACCAGTGTTTACATGTCAGCGAATGTTGAAGGGTTAGGGGCATTACCCTTTAAGCCTGATGCTACATTAAGCTGCTGAAGCTCGAGTTTCCCACCTGCCAAAATGTGACGAAGTCTTTTTTTTGTTCTACTCAATCCTGTCTAGGGTTATTTTCTACCTCCTATCCCCCATGACCCTCTTTAGCCCCCATCTATGTATTCCTGCAGGCTGGACCAGCTCCAGGTAGGAGGGACTGAACTCCAAACTGCTGTCTTGACTCCAAATGGGTTTGCAGTGTTAAGTGCTTATCTCAATGCTGTGAAATGTTGCCCTTTTAATGTACTTTACAATGTGACTCCCTTTTGGTGGTTATAAGTGTTAGTACCTTATTAACAGAGCCAGGTGTTCAGCGACCCCAGGAGAGAACCCCATCTTGCTAGCTGATATACTGTAAAGTTAAAGGCTAATTAATAACAGTGACTACCAGAAGCTGTCAAAATCATATACATTTATAATTGACTAAATATTACTGTTGACTGGATGTTTGTTTGGGGTCCTAATAAGTTATAGTTTACATTACAGCATTCTTAATCCAGGGCTTAATCACATTAAAATCACAGGCTTATTACAAACTAAGGCTTTTTATTCCGTAACTACATGGACTTCAATACAAACTGGCTGAGCTATTCTTAGGCCATAGAAGTGTGCAATAAAACTTTGAGCCTGCTGGTGGGCCCTGGCCATTTAAGGGTTCAACAGAGAAAATAACTAACTGCTGTAGTTACTCACTGAGAAGGCCTGTCTGAATTCAACCTGCTTTGCTAGATGGACCCCAGATCCACGACTTCTGCAAGTCCGAACGACAGGCAACAATAACACCACAATAAAACAAAACATACCTTTATGTTTAAACTTTTTTAGCGTTTCTGTGTCCTCCTAAAAATGTAAAAGGTAATTGATTCTGAATACTGTCTTTACAACATGTTACTTAGACTGAATACAGATACTTACCTTGTGTATTCTGAATACAAAAATTCTTCCAAGCCTGAGTAAAATAACAACCCAAAATTGTTAGGAGGCTCCCTGGTGGTCAAGGGGACCTAGGCAGCTGCTTATGTCGCTTAGTTGGCACTGCTCATTAATAAATGGTCATAAACCATTTGAGAGAACAAGGAACATCAAACCAAAGAGGAAACCTTAAAATGTGTGATTCAGCAATTGCAAAACAGAAAACACACCATGGTCTAGGAGCATTTATTAAGGAGCAGTGCCAACTCTACCTAATAAGCGACATAAGCAGCTGCCTAAGTCCCCTCAATCACCAGGGAGTCTCCTAACAAATTTTGGATTATTACTGTACCCAGGTTTGAGGGGTCCTAGGCTGCTGCTTATGTCGCTTATTAGATAGAACTGGTCAATTTGGATAATAAATACAATGGCTATATTTGTGTTGAAGATGTTGCAAACTCTGGTTCCCATCACCGCCACTGTAAAGAAATTAGAGTGGGTATGTTTTATCTACAATGAACAAGTTGATATCAAACATCTCAGTGAATTTTGAACAGTTTGTGGCATTCCCCTTTAAACTTGATGCTACATTAAGCTGCTGAAGCTCAGGTTTAATAACTGGTCATGATATTAATGTATCAGTCTATTCAGGCTTTAGCATCAAACCAAAGAGGAAACCTTAACATGTGCAATCCAGCAATTGCGAAATAGAAAACCATATCATGGTCGAGGAGCCTTTATTAAGGAGCAGTGCCAACTCTACCTAATAAGCGACATAAGCAGCTGCCTAAGTCCCCTCAATCACCAAGGAGCCTCCTAACAAATTTTGGATTATTACTGTACCCAGGGTTAGGCAACCAGCCTTGTGACCGGAAGGTCACCGCTTCGGTCTCCTGAGGTGAAATTTCCCCGTTGTGGAACTAATAAATGCGACTTAATAAATGGTCAAAGACGAGGAACATCAAATCAAACAGGAAACCTTAAAATGTGTGATTCAGCAACTGCAAAACAGAAAACCACATTATGGTCTGGGAGCAAGAGTAATAATCCAAAGAGCAACAGAAACAAAAGACGGTTAATGCAGGGCACAGTTATCTGACCAAATTATAGTTTCTGACCAATAAGATACCCTGTTGGTGGTTATATGGTAGTAACTTACTGACAAATTGACAAATTCATTTCAACTATTAATTTCAAGTTTATTCAACTTATTGACAAATAGCTGATGAAACTGACAGGTTTAATGCTGACTGAGGGAGAGGACAACATAAGATGAGTATGCAGCAAGATCTGAGGTTTTACAATATAGATTAACATTGGCTCACTATTTGGCAAGCAACAGGTCACCATTTCTCCTTTTGTCTATGTGTTATAACTTTTTATTAATGATTTTTAAAGTATTTATGAGCTAATTGGTAACCATTAATAAACTCATTCTAAACCACTTATGAACTCTTTAAATTTGGTACATCTTATCTTAAAGTGGTGCCATTTTTTTCTGATGTAAAAAGAAGCCGTGTCCAATCTTTTGTGATGCAACGAAGGAAAAAAAAATTATGGACTAATCAATCCTTTGACTGATAATTGATTTATTTTAATTATTGTGGATATGGTAGAGCCTTTCTGATGAAAGCATTAGAATAAAAGCATCTATCAGCATTGCTGACATTCAGCTCAGAGCTTGTAATATGAATAAATATGAATAAATGCATTATATTTTTTGAAAAAAAGTGAATCTGTGCAGATCACCTTTAGGCTTGGCTGATGTCAAAGAGCAAAAGTGCTGGTAGAATATTATAGTTAATTTTAATATTCACACACATGCTATTCATTCGGCTTTTAGATAGTTTACATGAAATCTTAAAGGGGAATTCCCCCCATTTCTCAAAATTTCTGCATTAGTGGTAACATTTGGCACTCTTCCCACTTAGGGTGCTCGAAATGACTCAAGTTCATTTAAATGTTCTCCTAAGCTTTGTCAACTCTTTCAAGGTTTTTTGCTAGCACAAGTATTCAAAGGACTGATTTACAGCTAAGAAGTTGGTATCACTGTAAAGTAAGATTTTGTTCAGTTACGGCTGCTATTCAATGGCTGAAAGCGCTAACTTTGGTGTTCATCCTCACTCAGGGTGCTGGAAATGAGCCGGGTATCATCACAATTGCATTTCCTACTTCTTATGCACTTCTTATGTCTTTGTAGCAGTCCTTGCAAAAGACTTTCTGAGGTGCTAGATCTCAGAAATGGCATATGCTGTATTACTGTCTAATGCTTTTATTTTTCTGTTTGTAATGCACTTCGAATTCCCACTGTGTATGAAAGGTGCTATACAAATAAACTCGCCTTGCCCAATTCAGTGGTTGAGATATAAAGAAAGTCATACAGAGTAGTTTATTTATAGAGAAACTTACAGACTCTGATTTCTTTACAGTGGTGGTGATAGGAACCGGGGTCACAATGTCTACAACACAAATACAGCTATTTTATTTACTATCCAAAACCACCAGTGAACCTACATGCATCTTCTGGGCTTTTACATGTAATGTTGTTAATGGTAAAATAGTGGAAAACCTGAAAAAAGAAGTTTTCTTTTGGACTATTTTGCCTCACAACAGCCTTTTTGTAACCTTGCACCATGAATTGATCAAAGTATATTGATTAAAATGCATTTTAGACCAGAACTTTATCAGAGAACTACCATAAAACAGTGTCTCAGACATTAAGCAGTGTATTCATAACCAATTCATGTAATAACTTTCTGTGAGGAAGCTTTAAGGGGTGTTAAACTCCTCAAACATCTGGTTCCTATCACCACCACTGTGAGCAATTCTGACTATGTAATTTTTTTTCTAGAGTGTAGCATTTTACTCAAAACCACTCTGACTGATTTTGTTGACATATTATCTATTTAATTATGCAGAAATTTTGAAAGATCGGTGGAGTTCCCCTTTAAGGGGTAGGAATTACAATAGACTGGGGCTCAAATTTGAATCTAGCCCATTTAACTACGTCTTAGATTATTTAAAAAAAATCAAAATGAAAAATATATTTAATGCATACAAAATAAAAAAGGAATGTTATCATCAGCATATTCTATGATTCTGCGTCACATAAACCCACCGGACTTCTCAACAGCCAATAGCGAAGCACTCTGAGTTACGCCCCTCCCATTTGGAGCTGTGCTCCAATAGAGAATCTCGGTCTCCACCAAGTTTCAGCAACGCCCTTCCCATTTGGAAGTTTTCCAGCATACAGTAAACTGAAGCGTGGGGGTGTTCAGCCGCTCTTTCGCGTCACTACTTGAAAACTTACGCCATCTCCTCACATTTTTTCGGGAATGTTTTACTGGAAATCTGTACTGAGAGTTTGACCCTTTCTGGAAACGTCTGATGTAGAGACTTTGGCTGAATCTCGAATGGCTCCCCTCTCCCTGTAAAGTGCGCTAGATAGGTCATAACACTATGGCTTCTACTGCCAAACAGTGTTCTAAACGTCGTGCAGCTAATGACTGAATATACAATGGCTTTCTATTGGGCATATAAAGCGGTATTTGGGTGGAGAAGCCCTTATTTCAGGACCTACCTCGTGCACTACATAGGGAGCAGGGAACCATTTGAGACGCAGCCTTTGTTTTCAGATGGACCGTTTACTTATGGATCATATCGTCGTCATATTAAAAATTCGTATTATTGTTCGGACATTTATCTTAAAAAGCCTTCCTTTGGGTTTGTGCTCTTCAGTTCCAATGTGCGTGGAATAAATTCCCGTTACATTCAAGTTTACAACGTTTAATATAAAGAACTCACTGAGGACGGTTTGTTATGACTGCGACGACAGGCGGTGCTCGTCACAGCAAAGTAGTCGTCTCCGCCCCCTATCACACGATCACGCCCACTCGCTGGGTATATTTGATAAAGCGCAGAGACGTATGACAGTGCAAGTTTGTTCATAGCGCAGAGCAGCACCCGAGAAAAGTGTAGTAGGAGAAAAAACAGAGGGAGAAAGTGAACACAGAGCAGAGGAGTGCACAGAGAAGTGAGGGAAGGTATTCAGAACCAAATAAAAGAGCAAAACCAAAATGGACCCCAGCAAGTCACCAAGTGCCCCACCGGCTGGCTGGAATCCAGGAGAGAAGTCGGGCATGGATCAGCCTCCCCCATACCAGGACTACAGTGCTGGGTACAGTCAACCTCCAGGCTACCCCAACCAGACTGGCTACCCTCAGGGCCAGCCTTATGGAGCTCCGTATCAGGGTCAGGGTCCGTACCCTGGTCAGCCCGCTGTGACTGTGCAGCCCACAATCTATGTGGCCGCCGGTCCACTGGCTCAGCCCTTGCCCGACTACCTGGGCTACTCCATCTTCACCATGCTGTGCTGCTGCTTGCCACTGGGCGTTGCTGCTCTGGTCTTCTCGGTGAACGTAAGTAGCTGTGGCTTTATAGAGACTATATGGGATAACATAGGAGTTAGCACTGACCATCAGCAAGAGGCAAAGTGCGCTGTCCAAAGAAAAAAAATCTCCAAAGTGTTAACTTTACAGGAGAGGGCAAAAACTGGCTTCACTTTCGACGCAATTTAATGTAAAGAGATTTTATTCCAAGCAGTTTTGGAGCATTTTCTGTTGGGCCAGTCATTATGAAACCGCGTCTGAAGTCAAATTATGCAGAAAACTAAAAATCGAAAAAAATGGAGATGCTTGTTTTTTTTGTTTTTTTTGGACAGCAACGTTATGGAAAAATAATTAATTTACGGTTTTGTTCTAAGAATATTGACCACCTACATATGTATTATACAGCTGTCTCTTTCCTTGAATTCCTTGAAGACTTTTTAAAGCTATCTGGCTTAGTTTTCTACAGGTTTTCTGCCCGAAGTGTTTCGAATAGCATCAGCGGGCAAAATACTCAGCTCTGCTTGAGCAGATTGTAAACAGCAGCGCCACTACGCGGCCTATGTGAAGAAGCTAATTCGCTTACTTACGTAGCTTTTTATACTTCCAGAATGTATAGATATTTTAAAACACCTTTATTTTAAGACACAGTGGAGATCATAGAAGTGTACATTCACTTAAGAATACGTTGAAAAGTTAAGAGGAACTGAAAAGTAACGTAACCTAGCAAAACTAAGAGAGCTAACCTAGCTTAGGTTAAACGGCTAAGCGTTAGCTATCTATATGTTTACAAGCGTGAAGCGGATGGGATATAGCTAGTTCAAACTGTATATAACGTAACTCTAAAATCACTCACTTAATTTGCTTTTTTCACTTGGATTTAAGCTGATACTCATTTTTACCTCATGAACCTTAAATTTCAGCTAGATATCATCATTCTGCCAGTAACACTTGCTAAGTTAGCGTTTGAAATTACATAGAAAAGAGTTAGCTAAGTGGTTTATAACTAAATGTGTGGTTTTGTTTAATATACTGTTTAATATGTCCTTTAATATATAACTGTTAACTCAAGTAGACATGAAAAGCGCATATTAATAATATTATAATAGTGTAATAATATAATAGTGTATTAACAGGTAGACATGAATAGTGACAGGTACAGGTATGCAGTGATAGGTGTGCCAACTTTATCTTAGCGTCCAGCAGTGTAAATGTTATTTGTGTTAATGTAAAATTATAATTCATGTAAAAATATAATTAACCAAGTAAACATTTATGACATCTATGTTCGCTTTAGCTGGAATGATTTTTGACTCTCAGCAAATATTCCCCAGCATGTTTGCGCACAGAAAGGCATTCAGCGTTATCATGTTTGTTGACGCTGTGCATCAAGGCACTCCATTGTTTGAGGAAGAGCTAAGGGAGGGGCTGCTCAGCGCCATGAATGCCAATTTGTCTATGAGCGATGGGTCAGTTTACATCATGTTGGGTCATCTTTGTGGCAGACATGGCTTCATTTTTCCCGACATGCAGGACTGTAGAGCTGAATAACATCTCAATCAAGTCTGGATGGTCTGTGGCGTCTCAGCGTTGCTTTTAAACAACGGGCTATTTTGATTAAAGACAAGTTGAAAGTGGTCTTTGCTGTGCATTTCTTATGATTGAGCAAGATTTCCTTCTGTAACATCACTTCCTAGAAACACAGGAAAACATGACAGCATGTCAGCTGCAAAAACATTCTCCTTCAAGACTACACTCTTAGGATGGTTCTTCGGGGGTTCTTTGGTAAAGAAAACGGTCATATAGAACCATGAACACTCAAAGAATCTTTTACGTGATTAAATGCTCATTTTCATTATTAAATGGCTCTTCAGATGGAAGGAGAATGTGCTGTAGATGAAAAAGGTTTTTGAAAAGGGTTCTTCTGATTTTACGATGTCAAGCCTGTCACAATAGAGGAACCATTTTTGGTGCTTTGTAGCACCATGCAAAGAACTCTTCAGTCATGCAAAGGGTTATTTGAGTCTTGGGTTTATATAGAACCATTATTTTGCTTTTTTTGAACCCCTGAAGAACCATCTTTTGTAAGTGTGTATAGAGTAGAGAGTTTTGATTTTATATTAAACAGAGATTGGAGGACAGGAGGTTATGAAGGCTCGCACATACTCACACGTTAGGTAGGTGCAATAATGCTTAGGTTTACTGTAACAATAACCCGACTTCTTTTTTCCTGAAGTCTTTTTCTCTTGCTTTTGCCGTGAAAGTGGCCTAAAAATAAAATAAAATACATATTAATGTCAAGCTTTCAACAATGAACAGATCATGTTCCAGAAACTACAGAAAGTACTCGTCAGAATAATGTAGTACTTCATTTTTGACAAAATCTGGAAATTTTTCTAATTCTGCTGACTGTCCGTGTTTCAGAACACCATGTGTGTTTCATGATTCAATCGAATCCTGAGGAATAAAATCATGTCCCACCCACATTTATTTCTTACCCAAATCTATTAAAATGAGTGAGTGCCTTTATATGCACTGAGTTATCTGATAACTGCAGAAAATCTGATTTTGTAATCCGATCAACATGCTAGCATGCACTTGAGTAATCAGATAATGGGAAAACTCTGGATCAGCGTTAGTCGGGCAGTAATCGGGTTTCTGCTTTGCAACCGACCAGTAAACTCACAGAAGAAGACGTGACAAAAACATAACGTAAAGCTCAAACTTCACGTCACGGCTTTTTTAAAAACATTGTGCCACTTTATCTGAAAATATGAACATACGTCATCTAGAAGACGAAGAATATTTAAATCCTTTATTTCATGTTTGGTTTCAGTGCCTCTCCAAAGTCTTTTGCTACTGTCTTGCGGCAACACTGCTTACTTATATATGGTACCGCTGGCTGTTCTCGCGCATGCTCAGACTAGGAAGATGAAAGAAATCAGAGTAAGAGTTTACATGTGCTGAGAAATCTGATTACTGAGCTAAAATCCAGCTCTCTTTATCGGATTTCTTAATCGGATTTCTAGATCGTAGTATGGTATTTACATGACCATTTGAATAATCGATTGATAACTGCAGAAATCCTATTATGATTGGATTATTAAGCGCGTGTAAAGGCAATCATTGATTTTAATGGATCTCAGGCACATTTTACGGCACAGTTCCTTAGAGAATCAGATGGATGACAAATTCAAGGAAAAACCAATATAAACTGTCAAAAATGGAGGAAGAAAGACTTTTTCACCTTTTCCTACCTCTCTGTAGTCACCACTGACCTCTCAAATGGTCAAATTGTCTTGGTAATGAGGGTCTAATAATAATAATAATAATACTAATAATAATACTTATATAGCGCTTTTCAAGAACTCAAAGACGCTTACAGGTTTTCGAAATACAGAACAGTAAAGACGAACATGAGAACATGAAGCACAGTCATAACATCACAAGCAAAACATAGCAGGACTTGGCAAAGGGCTGGTTTAGGATTGAGAACAGTTATAAGCAATAGAAAAGAGAAGTTTTAAGTTTAGATTTAAAAGTGGAGACAGAGTTGGCCTGTTGAATATGTGAGTGAAGAGAGTTGCAGAGTCGGGGAGCCAGTCTAGAGAAAACACGATCACCGTACGCATGTAGATTGGAAGGTGGGACAGTGAGTAAACCAGCAGAGGAAGACCTGAGAGTGCGAGTTGGTTTGTAGAGAATAAGTAGATCAGAGAGGTAAGAAGGAGCAAGGTTATGTAGAGCTTTGTATGTGAGGAGAAGAATTGTGAATTGTATGCGGTATTTTACAGGAAGCCAGTGGTGATGTTGCAGAATGGGTGTAATATGCTGATGTGCACGGGTGCGGGTGAGAAGGCGAGCAGCGGAGTCCTGTACCATCTGAAGTTTGCATAAATGGGAGGAGTTAATACCAGCAAGTAGAGAGTTACAATAGTCCAGGCGACTAGAAATGAATGCATGAATAAGGGTTTCTGCAGCAGACTGAGAGAGTGACGATCGAATTTTTGCAATGTTACAGAGATGGAAAAAAGAGGTTTTAATGATTGATGTGTGCACTGAAAGAGAGAGTTGAGTCAAAGAGAACGTCCAGATTTCGTACCAGAGGGGAAGGGGACAGAGTTACATTGTCGATGGAAAGAGAGAAAGGAGAAGTTTTAGAGAGAGTTGATTTGGATCCTATAAGAATAAGTTCTGTTTTGTCACTATTTAACATGAGAAAGTTGTGCTTCATCCATGTTTTAATTTCTGTTATGCAGTTTTCAAGCTGGGTGAGGGGTGGATTTATAATAGACTGAGTGCTAATGTAAATCTGTGTGTCATCCGCATAACAGTGAAAGTACAGCTTGGAACTACGTATTATGTGGCCAAGAGGAAGCATCTACACAATAAACAAAAGTGGTCCAAGGACTGAGCCTTGAGGGACCCGCTGAGTAACCACAGACGTGTGAGAAGTAAGGCCACTGAGGGTGACAAACTGTTTTCTGTCAGTCAGATATGACTTAAACCACTCCAGGACAGTGCCCCTAATGCCCAGATCATGCAGCCTTGATGGGAGGATTGAGTGGCTCACCGTATCAAAGGCTGCACTCAAGTCAAGTAGTAGAAGGATGCTAAGGGCACCAATATCGGCAGACACCAGGAGGTCATTAGTGACCTTTATTAAGGCAGTTTCTGTGCTATGAGAGGGACGAAATCCGGACTGGATAGAGAAGCGAGTTATTGACAAGAATTGTGAGATGAGGGACCAGGGCAGAAAGACAAGCTTTAGTTAAGGTTGTTGGAAGGGGATCAAGAGAACAAGTTGTAGTTTTAGAAGTAGTTTTGGTGTTTATAATGGAAGAAGAATCAACAGTGTTAAAGGTAGAGAGATTAGAAGAGGGAGGGCTGGGGCTTATAGAATGGACAGTCAGGGAGGAAAGGGAAGAGGTATTGTTAGTAGGGGATAGCAGAAAGCTGTTGATTCGTGCAATTTTGGATTCAAACAAATGTAAAAATGAGTCGCAGAGTGCAGGGGAGGCAGCCACAGAGGT